ATGTAGACATACATACATGCATGCATGCATGCATGTATGTATGTATGTATGTATGTATGTATGCATGTATGTGTGTATGTTTGTATGTATGCATGCATGTATGTATGTATGTATGTATGTATGTATGTATGTATGTGTGTATATATATGGTATATACATCAAAACTATATATATATATATTGTATACATACATATATATATATGTATATATGGTTTCTCGCCTACAAACCCTATATGCTGCATATATATATATATACATATATTCATATGTATATACATATTATTCATACACACATAGATATGCATACTTACTTACATCCCCACACACACATGCAACCATACATGATCTATGTACAAAGGCATACATGTACACGTCTTTATATGCATATGTTTGTATATTGATTTATGTGTGCTTGTGTGTATCAAACAAACTGCTCTAGGAGTGTTATACTGTCTGTGTGTGTGTATGCAGATATATACACATGTATATATATATATATCCACACTCACACACACACACACATATATATATATATGTGTGTGTGTGATATATACACACACCTACACATGCATACATATAGAGGTGCTATTAAATATATTTATTTTTATCGTTCTTCAAATCAAGCATAACATATCTGTGTATAGAATGGAAAGCCCTCTGCACAGGTGGTCTGCCGAAGCAGAAGCTTGTGCGGGAGTTTGTCGAGAAATGCTACATCCAGTCAGCTTCTGCTGCAGAGAACAAGGACAGTCAGACATGGTTTATAGATTCTCCTGGAACGACTGCAACCCTTGACCCTTTACCCTCTCTCCCCATGTCTCACTCTCTCTCTCTCTCTCTCACAAACATTTCTTTCGTTCCTTCTCTGTCTTCTGACATGCTGGACAGGACCGGCTTGAAGCTCTGTTCAAGTTGAGACAGCTGACGAAGGATTGGAAGAAATCCGTCGCTGGCTACGAGTGGCTCACAGAGCAAGAAATGCGCGAGGAGAAGAAGTGGCCGGAGTCACTTGGGCTAATATATATATATATATTTACATGTGATGATGGCTCGTGTGTTGCTCCCGCTGTGAAGTCTGGTACATCTAAGGCAAAAAATCTCCGGGGCCAAGGCCCACTGTGAATCCAAGCGCCTTTTCAAGCGCTGTTTGTACGAGAATGTCCGTAAGTACTTAGTGCTTACAACGGACCGTGTTGAGCTACTTGGCTTCAGCTTTTCATGGGCTTATATACATACTGTCTTCGGCTTTGCATGCTCATATCGAAACCAATTGAGGCAAGGAAGTGAAAAACTACGCGCACTCGAAGAAGTGATGGAAAGCTCAGGCCAGTCCTGCTGCTGATTCCGAGCTGTATAGGCAGCCATTGTCTGCACGCCATATACCTGGGCTGAGGCTTCTTTCGTGAGAACTTCGACATCCACACGGGTATCGGTGATGCTGTGGATTTGTCCGACCATGAAGATGATGACAACAAGAAGTCGACAGCGAAGGGACGAGACAAGGGCCTGCCTGATATCGATGGGCCGGACACTTTGAAGGAGTTCCTGAACAAGTACAAGAAGAGTCTTCTGAACCGTCGGAGTGCGTTCAAAGAGGTGGTTGAGCGCTTGAAGACCGAGGGTGCGACAGACCACACGATTCTCGCCTTAACACTTTATAACTGTGGAATCTTGCAATCCAAATGTATGCCTTGCTTGCCTGCCAAACATTCCTGCCCCAGCCAAGGGAGGATCACAAGGAAGCTGAGGAAGCCATGAGAAACTCGCTACAACATTAGTCGATTGCAAGCATCTACTGTTTTTCTATCCCCGAAATCAGTGCTGTGCTGCAGAATGGGTCAATGACCTCTACAAGCAGATCTGCAACAAGGAGCTCGACGATGCTTCTTCCCAGCGGCTCGCCTCAGGTTTATGCCATGAGTGGCATGGTTCTCTGTGGTATGTGTGCTTTTGCGTGTGTTATGCATGATATGTGTGATGGTCCAAGGACAAAGGAGAGCTATGCGGGCCTGGCCAAGCAAGTCCGGGATGCATTGGTTCGTTTCAACAACTGCCTGAGTGCTCTGAAGCCTCCCGGTCTGAAGTGCGCTTGTTTACTAGCACAAAGCCCCATACAAACCCTAAACCCTAAAGCCGAAACCCCTAAAACACTTATACACCACTCCACACAACCCATATGTGCAGCTGAGGACCCACTTCAAGAAGCAGAGCAAGCCCAAGGCCAAGGCTGCGACTGCAAAGCAGGAGCCACCTGAAGAGTGAACCGGGGCCTGAACGTGCAACTGAATGCAGGCCCCTATGGATACGTTCGGAGTTTAGGCTTCAGGCTAGCTCTATGTTCAGTGCTTCTAAATATCTATCCTTCTAACTTTATATAACTCTATATACCCTTGCTTAAATCTACCTCTGTATCTCTGGGATGCCTGGTAGGATTTGCGACTGCTGTTGTGGTGTAGCCACAATGGCCTGTGTTTTGGGATTCCTGCTCTGGGCAAGACCTATAGGCAGGATGTCTGAAATTATGTTTGCAACCCGGGGTTCACTGGTGGAGTCCTGCAGAATGTGAAAAGGTCGTGGAGTCGTGGAAGTCATGTGCATGGAGCCCCTTCTGCATGCTTGCTGACAGAATGTATATAGGAACTGGTATAGAGAGGTATGCATTTTCACTGGAAAATGCATACCCCTGTATACACAGTTTCGTTGTTTATACTTCTGTCGTCTCATGGTCCATGTCGTGCTCATGTTATATATATATACACACATATACATATATCTTCATACATACACTCAGATGTGTATGTATCAAGATATATGTATATGTTTTACACACACACACACACACTCGCACACATAGTATATAATATAATTATACATACATACAACCTATATAGGTTGTCTGTATGTATAATTATATTCCTGCATTCCTGCATATATCTGCATCTTTTTTTGTCCTATCTCCTAAATGGTTTATCTATTGGCTTGCCTCTACAGAGGCAGACCAAATAGATAAACCATATATAGTACATGAAAAAATAAATATGAACACACATACTGTATGTTTATCTCTCCCTGTCTCTCTGTCTTTTTCTCTTCTGTTTGCGGTGTTAGTATCCCCTCCGCAGGTGCTTCAGCGATCTGCAATGTCTTGGAGAGCTACCTGGTACCCTGCCTGCATGGTTGTCGTTTATCAGGGCTCGTTTCTTGCTGCAATGTATCTGAGGCACATGGAGCTGCTCATGCAGCACGCATAGCTTGGGACACGCATCAAACGATGCAACCAGGCAACCCTGGGTATGTGCAGCTGGTTCAGCTGGGTCTGGCTCACCAAACAACTTCTGATAAGGAGACTGTTTTCACGAATAATGTGATTCGTTTACACCTCTGTATGATGACGCAACCATGTCGTATTCATGATGTGCCTCTTCGTCGAGGAGCCGCTTCACAGTACATTATCCCTATTCGGGATCTGGCTGCGGAGATTCTTGAGAAGTTTCCCCAGAAGTTGCTCTTTGGAAATTGCGAGGGCGACAGCCCCCAGGTTGGTGACACGCTGAAGCAGTTTTGGCGCTTCTTCAGAGCGATCCGTCCGGGGCACCCAGTGTTTCAGGATCATGCTGATGAGTTGCACCGAGTCATTCCGTGTCGCCTGCACATGGATGAGGGGACGTCGCACCGGAAGCATGCCGTTATGCAGGTGAGTTGGGGGCCAATCTTGAAGGATGGTGCAGCCAGTGTTAACCACTGCTTTTATTTCGCGAGCATCCTGGGAGATTCCTACAAGGAGGATCATTGTGGATACGCTGCTGGAAATTCCATCATAGACGTGATTTCGAGGCACCTTGCAATTCATTGCAAGCAAGCATACTACACTGGCATGGAGCTGGGCTCCGAGCGCTTTTACCTGGCATGGATTGGATTGGAGGGCGATTTGCCTGCACAGGCCCGTGTGCTGCACCTGGTGCGACACTTCACCTGCGCTCCCAACAAGTGCTGTCCGTGGTGCCAAGCAGACGATCGTGACACCCCGTATGCAGATTTCAGACCGACTGCCCGATGGAAAAGAACTGTGGGTGTGCAACAGCCGTGGACTACCCCATCGCCTCTGCTCAGCATACCTGGTGCTGACACAGCTGAGTTTGCTTTGACAGACATTTTCCATTTGTGTCATTTGGGCATTGTGCGAACTGGGGTTACATCGCTCATTTGCTACCTCTGCTACAAAGGTTTTTTTGATCAGGGTGGCCTCAACGTGCCTGCGCGCCTTCATTATGGGTATAAACTTTTCGCAGAGTTTTGCCGGCTTGTGCTTCAGGAAACCCCACACCTGAAGGACTTCACCAAGGACAACCTGGGTTGGGGAAGTCTCAAGTGCATGCCTGAATCTTCCATGCACCTTGTTCTTGGACTTGGGTATGTTTTGTTTAATTGAGGGCAGCCATTGCATACTTCATGTTGAAACATGCAACTGAGGAAAGGTTCAGATTGCACCCTCCTCGTGAAGTTCCTCTTGGACTACCTAGGACAGCCATGGCTACTTGATGATGTGGCAGCTTCTGCTTTTCAGTGGCTGGCTGCTATCGATGACTTCCTGCACCTTTGCTACACAACGGATCGGATTTTCTTTACGCCGGAACAAAGCCAGACTGCGCATGGCCATCTGTGCACTTTTGCAGAGAAGTATCACGACTGTGCAAGCAAATGTTTTGCGCGGAATATTTTATTTTTCAATCTTACACCGAAATACCACTATATGCTCCACGTCCGGGATTCCCTGGAACTTCGGCCGAAGCAGAAGCTATACATGAACCCTGCAGCCACAAGTACGCAGATGGATGAAGACTATGTGGGCAGGGTTAGCCAGAGCAGCAGAACTGTGCATGCGCTTGGTGTGCCTCTCAGGGTCGGCCAAAAGTGGCTCGTGTACACACACATGAGATGGTCAGGACAGTTTTGAGGGATGATGATAAATTCAAGATCTCTTCGTTATGTTGTATGGTCTTTGAATGGTTGCTTCATGCTGTCCTGCTGTTTCTCGGTGAAGAAAACGCATGGAGCATCGCTTCTGCAAAACAGAGAGAGACTCATCATACAGGGTAATTTGGGAGTTGCCTAAACCCTTAAACCCAAAACCCTAAACCTTCGTTCTTCCTAAACAGCGAGGCACTCAGCTTGCAGGGTAGCTTGGCAGTTGCCTAAAGACCAAGCCCTTAACCATCAGAGTATAGCTTGGGAGTTGCCTAAACCCTCAAACCCTAAGCCTTAAACCCTGAACCCATGGGAGTCTTGAGGACGAGAAACCAAGAAGTTTTAGGCTACCACCGATGTATAGTTATGGCCCAGGAACCAAAAAAAGGAACGCCAAACCAATGTATAGGTAGGGTTTAAGGTTTAGGGTTTGGGGTTTGGGTTTACGGTTTAGGGTTTAGGGTTTGGGTTTTGGGTTTTGGGTTTAGGGTTTAGGGTTTAGGGATGTTTACTTGCTCTCGCTTGTTCGTTTTATTCAATGTGTCCATACGACAGACCTTCGTGTTGTAAATTCTCACTAGAGCACTGCGATTGGCACTCCGGGTTGGCCTTTCCAAACTCAGTGGGCCCTAAACCCTAAACCCCAAACCCTATCAACCCTAAACCCTAAACCCTAAACCGCGCTTTCTTTAGGCACGGACTCGCTTGGACCCCAAGCCCGCGAGCATCAGCTGATTACTCCGAAGTGCTACACGAACTAGATCTAAGACATTTTCAGATGGGTAGTTAGGGTTTAGGGGTTTAGGGTTTAGGGTTTATTTATTTTCAGGTGGGTAGTTACCTCTTATAGGAGCCTTATGGAGGGTCTATATACCCTAAACTCCCCACCTGTAGCTTCCTTTAACTAGACCGCCAAGGATGCAGGGCTAAGGGGTGTGGAGATAGGGGTGTTTAGTGCCGCAGGCTTACCTAAACCCTAAACTCTAACCCCTAAACCCCCTATAACCCTAACCCCCAAGCCCTAAACCCCGAAACTCCTAAACCCTAAACCCTAAACCTTAACCTCAAAATACTAAACCCCGAAACTCCTAAACCCTAAACCCTAAACCTTAACCCCTAAACCCCGAAACTCCTAAGCCCTAAACCCTATAATCCCTAGACCAGAATCTCCGAGCCCTGAGCCATCCTAAACCCAAAGCTCGAATCCCGACGCCCTCTCCATATAAGGGTTTAGCGTTTAGGGTTTTAAGGGTTATAGGAGCTTAGGGTTTAGGGTTTAAGGTTTAGGGCTTAAGGTTTAGGGTTCAGGACTTCAGGTTTAGGCATAACACACGAAACAAACCCTAAGCCCTCAAACCCTAAATCCCTAAACCCTAAATAAACCCTAAATCCCCTAAACCCTAAACCCTGAAAAAAAAAACCTAAAGCCAAGTCCGTCACCGTGGTCGTCGCAGGCCTCGCGGAGGTGATGCCAAGCTCGAGCGTCGTTGGCCCTGGAGTGGTCTTCCAGCTACAAGCAGGTGGGTTTAGGGTTTAGGGTTTAGCATTTCTTAGTAGCTGATGGAGTACACTTTACACTTTTTTGGGAGAATATCCCTAGAACTGAAAGTTTACACGTTCTGGGGGGCATGACAATGATTTCAGCAAGTAAGAATTCTCTTTGACCTGAACTGCTTGAAGAGTTGAATCCCCCTAAATCCTAAACCCTAAACCCCCGAACCTCAAACCGTGAACTCGACGCTACACCCTGAACCAAGAGGAGTTTTCTTTGAGGGCCATAAATTAAAATGCTGAGATCCCTGTTAACCAGAGGTTAGAACCCTTATAATGGAGCCGAGTGCTGAATCAGGGGTCTACATGGAATGATGCCACTACTACCGGCAGTAGTCGTTTTCGTATCAATCACGCGCACATCCCGAAGATTACAACCCTAACCCCCTGAGCCCTAAGCCTAAGCCCTAAAACCCTACACCCGAAACCCTGAACCCTAAACCCTAAACCCTAAACCCCTAAACCCTAAACCAGATACACTAAACCCTAAGCTGAGTCACGCAGCCACAGTGAATAGTCAGATCCTTACTGCAAGGACCCGTTAATGAAGGTTTAGGGTTTGGGGTTGAGAGTTCAGGGTTTCGGGTTTTTCGGTTTAAGGGTTTAGGGTTGAGGGTTCTCGCATGTCCCTCAACCCACAACAAAATCCCCTACACCCGAAGCCTTGGCCAGGCTCCTACGAGCTGAGATTCCGGAACGCAGACACGGAATCTTGCCCGTCATGCCTTAATTAGGGTTTCGACGCAATCAGGACTTAGGGTTCAGGTAAAATTGCCTTTATCTCTTTAAGTCTTTTTTTACCTAAAGAACAAATGTTTCTCCAAATCTGAATTGTATTGATTATAATATGTTTTTCTAGTTGTTTTCTTTTAATGGGCGGGTAGGACTCGGACTTCCACGACTCTCTGGAAAGCCGAGACCTCACCTTAACCCCAAATAACCTTCCTTTTGAAGGACTTACAGTAGAAGCCCAAAAGTTGGAAACCCAATAGCCTCCATCCTTAAGACTCATGGATAGGGAATCCCAGCACTAATTGTCCTTAATCCGGTTTCCAACTTTTTGGGGTTTACTATATTTATAAAGAGATCATAATATGGAGCCTTAGTAAGGTAGGTTCTTTAGGGTCCAGGTACAGCTTAAAGCCTGGATCGAGCCTAAACCCTAAACCCTAAACCCCAAACCCTAAACCCTGAAACCCTAAACCCCTAAACCCCTAAAACCCCTAACCCCCCAAACCCCAAACCCTACAGCTTAAAGCCTGAATCGAGCCGAGGTCTGCAGCGGATGCCCTCATGATTCGGTTCCCTTCTTCGTGACTGTCGGCCTCGCAGGGACGGATGCGGCCACAGGCAGACCCGGAGGGCTTAGCGTGGGGCCCTCTGGGCCGAAGTGGGGTTTTGGGGGTTTAGGGTTTAGGGGCTACAAGGGTTCCTTTAAAGGGCTCTATAAGGGTGCTACAAGGGTTTAGGGCTCTAGGGGTTTAGGGGGATTTAGAGGTTCAGGGCTGTAAGGGTTGAGTTTCATAGGTTCTAGGGTTTAGGGTTTAGGGTCTAGGGTCTAGGGTTTAGGGTGTGAATTCCGGACATGTCTTTTGACTGAACCTTCATTTCGTTACCGCCTTGATGTCTCAAGGCCCGCGTGCACATAGGAACCAAAGCCGAGGGGAATGCGCTTGAAAAGGCGCCACGTTCCGTCCGAGACTTCTTCCTGGTTCTTGCGGTTTGGGTTTTTAGCCGACTACAGTGGTAGCGGAGCGCCTGGGTACGACCAGGCGCCTAGGGGGTGGTTGGTTGACTGTTGAAGTCTCGGTTCGGACGCGGCACTGTATACGGGACAGTGCAGTAGTTTTTGATGGCGCAGCCGGCTTCCGGGGCGGAGGCCATGCCATCTGTGCCAGACGACGACGAAGGTCTCGGTTCCGAGGAAGCAGAGGCCGAAGCCGCTCGCGAAGAATACGAAGAGTTTAGACGATGGCTTCGGATGAGAAACCGCGGGGGAAGCCGCTACGAGCGGCAGACGCGGACGACGACGAGACGATATGACGACGAAGATGATGATGATGGTGGTGGCGGAGAGTTCAGGACCAATGCTGGTCCCCCACCATCGTGGGATGGGGTGCAATGTCCTTTCGAGGACTACCTCATCAGGGCTCGGATTTGGATCAGCACTACGAAAGCTCGGGCACAGACACGCGGGCCTTTGCTCTTGAAAGCCCTGAGCGATACGCCCTTCCAGGATTTTAAGCATTTGGCTAAAGATCCTGCTTGGCTGTCTGATCCTGGAAATGCCGAGAGCCTTTTGAAAAGAATGGACTCCCCAGAGTACTATGGAGATGATCAGGAAGAGCATCTACTCGCCTCTTTGGCCCGAATTACTTATCATCTGAAGCGGCAGAAGAATGAGACAGCCCGCCAGTTTCTTGGCAGGTGGGAGGCGGCCGAGCGAAAGGTCGCAGAACACAAGGTTTCTTTGCCTTCCCTTTACCGGGGTTTCTTGATGATCAATGCTTTGGGCCTTACTGACGGGGAAATCAAGACCCTGCTCACTTTCACGCATGGGTCGATTGAGCCCAAGGAAGTGAAGACTTGGCTGAGGAAGCACGAGACGAAGCTTCAGGCTGGTCAATTGGGCAATGAAGCGACTACTCGGGGCAAGTCGACCCCGGCGGCCGTTCATGCGGTCGAAACCACCACGAATGAGACGGTGGAGCCCTCCGGCGAGGAGGAAGAGATCGAGACGATGGAGGCCATGTTGGCAGATCTGGCCGACGACGATGAGTTGAAGGAAGGACCAGGCGTCTTCGAGGAAGACGAAGCGGCGGAAATTTTGGCAATGATGATCAAGGAGAAGAAGAAGACGTACAGCCAATCGGCACAGATCAAGAAGGACAAGGAACTGGGCAGAGGCTATCGCCAAGGCGGAGGACCCTCTGGATCACGAGACCGCTACGGCCCCTTCCGTCCGGGGACCTACAAGCTGTCCATTGCAGAGCTCAAGCAGCGAACTCGCTGTAAGCGATGCAACAAGGTGGGTCACTGGCACAAGGAGTGCACAAATCCGCCGGCTCCAGGCCACACCCGGGATCCCAAGGAGACACACCTTCTAGAGATCGATCTCGAGCAGTATGACGATGCCCTCTTCTGCCACTATCTGGAGAGTGCTGTTAGTGAAGATGCCGACGAGGAGTCCAATGGTGCCATCGACATTTTGTCACAGAGCCCAGAGCCAAATGGCTGCGGCAAAGGCCGTGAGAATTTTGACAAGAAGCATCAAGAGTCCGAGCTCGATTACATGCCCGGTCGTGTGTATGATATTCTGTATAGTGATAGGGGGTCATACAACGATCACGCTTGCGCCACTCTTGACACCGGTTGCCAGAGAACTGCTGTAGGAGCTGAGACCTTAGGTAAGATGAAACCTTTTTGGCCCCCAGAGCTCTCCTGGTACAAGCAGAAAGAGCAGAACAAATTTCGTTCGGTTCACGGAGTTTCGCAAACCGAGTACAATGCTGTGATTCCCTGTAGCTTGGGCAGACGCGGTTGCTTCCTGAAGCCTGCCGTTTTCGAGGGAAGCCATAGCCGAAACGCGCCTCTACTTCTGTCTCTGAAGTTTCTTCTGCAGAGCGAAGCGGTCATCAACTTGAGGCAAGGTCGCTTGAGTCTGCATTTGACTAAGCATGGGGCTCAGATTCCGCTTCACATTGGACCTTCAGGAGCTTTGAGGGTTGAACTCAACAATTTCACGGGGACTATGATGCATGCGCTATCACAGTCCAAGAAACGTCTGGCCGGAGGTCACCACGGAGAGTTTGAAGTTCTGAACCTGTCTGCCATCCAGCCTGACCTCAAGAGCGAAAGTGAACATCCCAAAGCCCCCGCCTCTGCCTCAGGAGCCTGCGGTCGCCATGGACTGTTCGTCACCGACCAACAAGCGTGCCCGCGAGCAGCCGAACCCGGAGAGGGCCAATGTGATCTACATCGCGTGGCGCAACCTCGTGCTACGTGTGGCAATGTTTTTGCGTCCGGTGGCCCGACTGGCCATGCAGGTGTTCAGCAACTCGGTGGACGCCTCACTCAACCATGTCCAGGCGAACTTGAAGGAGCTCAAGCCGGAGCGACTCTTGGCGCTTCGGGACGATGTGGACGAGATCTTGATGAAGCAGAAGGACAAGGAGTACGAGCTCTACATGAAGTATCGGGACTGGAAGAGGACCAAGAAGACGACCGCCGCCGCGAGCCACAGCCCTCCGGGAAGCTATGTGGTGGTGAAGGAGGAGGACGACAAGTCGTCGATGTCCGGGTACTCCCTCACTTCGGAGTTCACACACTACAACCCCCGGACCGGGAGCCGCGGAAGACGATTGGCGACACCATCGCCGACGGCAGGGCCTCCCAAGGGGCCACCACCACCGAAGCCAATGTGGCCGGAGCAACCACAACCTATGTCGACCTCTACCCGCCGGAGCGGAAACACGACGCCCCAGAGCGTCAGCATGAGATCCGGCCGGATGTCCAGCAAGACGAGCAGCAAGGTTACCAGCAAGGATGTCGACGAGATGGCGATCAAGATCAATGCCGAGAAGAATGCCATCGTGACGGACAAGATGGCCCAGCAGGAGATCTTCACCCAGGCCTACCACATCATCGAGCCCAACGCGCCGATCTGTGCTTGCCGCCGAGGTTGCAAGGTGGAGCTGAGCGCCACGACCCAGAACCCCAGCCGGGTGTTCTACAAGTGCTCGGCCATGGAGCCGACCCAGCAGTGCGGATTTTTCCAATGGGCGACCGAACAGCCCCTCCTGGACGACAAGTACATCGAGACCCGCCAGCGTGTGGTGCAGGGGTTCCCACGGACCCTGACCGCTCGAGAGATCCTGGTCAGGATCCTCCAGGATGCATGCCCGCACTTCTCCAAGGTCGGGACGGGATCGAATGCCTTCTACAAGAGGGAGCGCTGCCGTGTTTGCAACAAACTGGTGACAGTGGAACGCCGCCAGATATACATTCAGTTGCCCTGCCTATGGCTCAACCAGGACCACTCCATGTCATGACCAACTGGTCTGAGCTTCTGGAATGCGTGAAGTCGTGGACCGGCCGCTCTAAGGTCTGTCTTGATGAGCTGTTGAAGGAAGTTCGCCAGGCTCTCGCTAGCTCACTTAGGGTGCCATGGCAACGAGTGCATGTACACGATTCTGCCGACCAACGAGCAGACTCACTTCGCCACTGCGGCCACCTTGCCCAAGAGCTTGGATGCAATCCGGACGAACTGGAGCAGCTCTTTACTCGAAGAGTTAGAGCTCGAACCCAGCCATCGGCTGGGGACCACGAAGAACGAGAACCTCGACACGATTCCCCGGAAGGAGATAGCCGAGATGGTCCTGTACCTGAACCCGAGAGGTCACGAGACGTAGTTGAAGGACGAGAACCTCTACACGATTCCGCGGAAGGAGATAGCCGAGATGGTCCTGTCCCTGGGAACAATCACCAGCAGGGTGAAGAGCCACCGCCTGGAGCTGGGGTTGGTTTAGAAGAACGAGATCTGCCCGGTTCCCGAGGACGTACCCTACGACAACTGGTACGTCGAGCACATGATGGTCTGGGCCACCCTCATCGTGAACGTTTTGTTCGAATTCTTCGGGCAGCCAAGGCCTCCGACGAAGTTATCCAGATAGCCAAGGAGCTCAAATGCAGCGTCTGCGAGAAGTTCCTCACGGTCAAACCACCACGAAAAGCTGCACCGCCCCGGGAACTTGGAATCAATGAGGTGATCGGGATGGACACGGTGTGGCTCCCCACGGTGGGCCAGAAGAAGAAGAAGGTAGCCCTGAACATCATCGACTACGCGAGCCACTTCCAGATGATGATCCCCTTGAAAGGACGCAGTCCAGAAGCCACGTGGTCGGCCTACAGGCAGTGGGTGAAATTCTTTGGACCGCCATCCCAGATCTGGGCTGACCAGGGGAGTGAGTTCAAAGGCTCCTTCAAAGTCCGGACAGCTCAGGAAGGCACCAGGATGGACCCAAGCAGCTTGGAAGCCCCGACGCAGAGAGGACTTGCCGAAAGACACGGCAAGACCTTCAAGATCATGTTGGAGAAGACGATGGCGGATTATAACTGCAGCAGCTATGCCGAGTGGATGGAGTTAGTGGACACCACCATGATGACCAAGAACCGGCTGGCATCTCGAGGCGGCTTTTCACCTGTTCAACGAGTACTCGGTTTCCTACCTCGACTACCTGGAGGCCTGTTGTCCGGAGGACAAGACGACGCCGAAGCTGGAACGGCTCCGCGCTTGGGCGACGCCGGTATACGTCGGGCCATGGATATGAGGAAGGCAGCGGCCAAGGCCTTCTTCGAAGTGGACTGCGACCAGGCCCTACGAAATGTCCTCGCGGGAGGACCGAGACCACACTACGACTACATGGTGGGGCAGATGGTCTACTTCTACCGCCTAGGCCACTCCAAGAAGGGTGATCGACCTCACCAACGATGGCATGGACCAGCGCGAGTGGTGATGACGGACTATCCGTCGACGATTTGGCTGAGCTACCAGGGTAACCTGGTGAAGGCCGCGCCTGAGAGGATTCGGCCAGGAAGCGAAGAAGAGAACTTGACGATCTCCGGTTGGTTGGACGGCCTGTCGACCGTCAAGGAAGAGTTCGAAAGGCAGCCGAAGAGAAGCTACATCGACTTGAGCGACGAGCCCCTGCCGGACCCCGCGGAGTTCCCAGAGGCCGACAGCTACGAGGAGGAGCTAGATGACGGCCAACATGACGAGCCACCGCGGTCCCTCACGAGACGATTGCGGTGCAAGACCGATCCACAGAGACTTGACATGGACACCGCGGAGCCAGAGCTACCAGAACCTCGTCCCCCTACGACGAACACCGCGATCCTTCCGGCACCTATGGTGCCCAGCCAGGACGACCACGTCGAGATAGAGGAGGACACCCCGATGGATATCCCGCCCGTGGACGAGGACGATGACAACATTGTGGAACCGCCTTCGAAGAAGACCAGAGTACATGTCCTCGAGGCCTACTACGCGAAGCTGGAGACCCTCTTCAAGACCAGGCAGCGGAAGGAGGTAAGACTGAAGGACTTGAACGACCGCGACCTCCAGAGTTTCCTCAAGGCGGCAGAGAAGGAGGTGCACAACAACCTGGACACCAACGCCTACGAGAAGCTCGATGCCAAGGCCAGTGAGCTTGTCCGGCGAACACGGCCGGAAAGGATCATGGAGTCGCGTTTTGTTCGTACAGTGAAACCCTTGGAACCCGGAGACGTCGACAAGGCTTCCATGGATGGGACCCTCCTTTCAGAGTCCCATGGGGGACCTTGCAAGGCCAAGGTCAGACATGTCATGAAGGGTTTTTCAGAGGACGGGGCCGAGGAACTTGATTCCGCGACTCCTCAAGTGACCCGCGAGGGAGTCATGTTTGTGACGCAGCTGATTTCCAGCAAAAGGTGGCGTTTGGGTTTCTTAGACTTCACTCAAGCCTTTCACTCGGGAGACCCGATCAACCGCGAATTGTACGCCGAGCAGCCTCCCGAAGGGATTCCAGGGATGCAAAAAGGGGATTTACTGAAGCTCGTTAAGACGTGTTACGGTCTTCTTGATGGTCCCATGGCGTGGTTCAGACATCTTCGGAGGGTTCTTTTGGAAGAGCTAGGCTACACTCAGAGTCGTGCTGATCCTTGCATCTATTTTCTTCATGACCATTCCAGGAAAGGTTGGGATCGGCTGATAGGAGTGGTGTCTGTTGCTACTGATGACTTGCTTCATGGGGGTGATAGCGAACATCAAAGGCGCATGGAAACCTTGAATCAAAAATACAAGCTGGGCAAGTTTCAGTATGGTTCAGGTCGGTTTACCGGGAAGCAGTTCACCCCCCAAGACGATGGCAGCATCATGATAGATCAGAATCATTACGTGATTGAGAACGTCCACAAGATTCCTCTTACTAAAGTTCGGAAGGCCCAAAGATACTCTCAGTGTAACGAAGAGGAGATTTCTCAGATGCGATCCCTTGTGGGAGCTCTTTCGTGGCTTGCCAAAGAGACGAGGCCAGATCTTAGTGGACGTGTATCTCTTCTCCAACAACAGTTCCCGAAGCCCCGAATCAAGGATGTGCTTAATGCCAATCAACTTGCGAATGAAGCCGAGAAACACAAGGTAGGTGTCAAGATCAGTTCCATTCCCATTGATCGTCTTCGCATCAGTGCAGTTACGGATGCTTCCTGGGGCAATGCTGAAGATGGAGAAATTCATGAAAGTAGCCGGGATTTTTGGACAGAGACTCCTGAGCGTTGGATACGACATCATCTGTGTCCTCGGAGGACCCTTTTTCATCCAGGTATGACAGAAGGAGGGCCAGACCTACATGGCCTCAAACCTACCAGGCTGACGCGGCTCAACCAGGACGGGCATGAGCGGGAGCAGACGGACCTATGGAACACACCTAAACTCGGGATGATTCCCGGGGAGGCCTGGACCGGACAGAGCATCTTCGAGAAGTGTCAAACTGGGTTGCGTCATCAGGAGATTTCGGAGGGTTTCCTTCAGAATAAAAGGACCCAGAGCCAGGGCGGCCATCTGATTATCTTTCATGATCGGGACTTGCAGTTTGAACCCTCCGCCCAAATTTCGGTGACCAGCTGGAAGAGCTACAAACTGAAGCGAAAGGTAGTGAACACCTTGTCCGCTGAGTGTCAAGCTTTGGTGAATGGGATTGGCAATGTTCATTGGCACAGGTTTCTTTTGATGGAGGCTAGCGGTGACAGTTGCGAAGATCCGGACTGGGAGGGCGCTCTGACCAAGGTGCCGTATCTTGCTGTTACCGATTCCAAATCACTGTTTGATGCGCTGTCAAAGCAAACCTGTCCTTACAGTCAGATCGACGACAAGAGAACTGCCATTGATATTTCAATCGTGAAACACGAACTCGCCAATGGCGGTACCATCAGGTGGATTGATGGTCGAAACATGATTTCGGATTCGCTTACCAAAAGCACCGGTGGCAACTATTTGCGACACGTGATGATGAATGGCCGGTGGACGCTAAACGAGCTCGGATTCAATACGATCTCTCACGAGGCAGAATCATCTCGAGAGTGTCTTTTCTTACACCAAGGTCTCTGGGATGTATGGTTCAGTCAACAAAAAAGTTGGTCCGATGTGAATTCCGGACATGTCTTTTGACTGAACCTTCATTTCGTTACCGCCTTGATGTCTCAGGGCCCGCGTGCACATAGGAACCAAAGCCGAGGGGAATGCGCTTGAAAAGGCGCCACGTTCCGTCCGAGACTTCTTCCTGGTTCTTGCGGTTTGGGTTTTTAGCCGACTACATAGGGTTTAGGGTTAGGGCCTAGCCTAGGGTTGTGCAATGCAGGAATTAGGAGTTTGGGGCTGTCGTGTAATCAGGCTTCGAGGGTTTAGCTTAATGCGGTTCTGAATCCCTGTCTTCTCATCACGTACACACTCGAAAGCTCCGAATGCCGCCAGGTAACCAAAGCTTCACACACGAACCTTGAACACCTCTGCTGTTGACACTTCTAGGATGCCAGCATGTCGGAGGGAGCTAGAAGTCGAAACGGAGCTTCGTCTTAAAGAGACTTGGGCAACCATTGCAGTCAGAGCCGTTGCTGCTGGCTACTAAACCTGGAGCGTCTATTGTAGAAGCCTAAATTAATTGCCGAGATTGTTCCTTAGGCTTCCTTATCAAGAATATAGTATTGAGGAGAGCGCAGATTCAAACCTTAAATCCCAGATTGAATGAAAACTGAGACTGCCAATATAGAGGTCGGAATAACTTCTGATGTTTTCCCTTCATAGCTACCGAAGAACCCTATGCTTCCCACATCAGCTTGAATGAAGATAGCTGTATGTGTTCAAACGAAGAGACCATCGAGAGAAGAGTTGCGTGGAAACCCTACCCTTAGCCCGACACCCTAAACCCTAAACCCTGAACCCGAAACCCTGAGCCCCAAACCCTAAACCCTGAACCCGAAACCGTAAACCTCAAAACCCGAAACCCTAAACCCTGAACCCGAAACCCTAAACCCGAAGCCCTAAACCTTAAAACCTGAAACCCTAAACCCGAAGCCCTAAATCCTGAAGTCCATGTACTGTCACCAAAGCTTTGCGCCCGCAAGACCATCCCTAAAGCCGGAAAGCGCTCAACAGCCTTATAGGGTTTAGGCTTTAGGGTTTAGGGTTTGGGTTTACGGTATAGGGGTTTGGGTTTAGGGTTTAGGGTTTGGGGTTCAGGGTTTAGGGTTTAGGGTTCAGGGTTTGGGGTTCGGGTTTGGGGTTTAGGGTTCAGGGTTCAGGGTTATATAGCATGGTCTTTAGGCCCAGCGGCCTTAAACTATGAGCCCTTCGAGCCTTGGGGGCAAGGTGTAAGCTTCCAAGACCATGTGTAAAAAGGTTTAGGGTTTAGGGTTCGGGTTCAGGGTTTAGGATGTAGGGTTTAGGGTTTAGGGTTGAGGGTTTAGGGTTGAGGGTTTAGGGTTTAGGGAGCTGCAGCTCGAGGCTTGTAAACCGATGCACGAAGCGGGCTCCACTCGCGCGAAATTGCAAAGTTGCAGGCTACATCCCCAAAACCTTCAACTCCTGAAACCCTGCATGCCCCAAGCTGCAAAACTTCCCAAAGCCAAGAGCCGGAGCCTAAACCCAAAGCCCCTAACCCGAAGTCCTAAAGCCCTACACTAAATGCCCTAAACTTTCAATCTTAAGCCCTTCTTTCTAAACCCTAACCCCGAGAGATCCCTGAACTCGGATGAGCTCTGATGTCTCCACTGCCAGAACACAGCGTTCATTGCGACAGCGTGACCAGGACAGTGGGGGTCTCCCGTTTAGGGTTTAGGGTTCAGGCTCTTAGGGGCTTGTGAATATGGTGATGGAGCCACTCTTCAAGCCGGCTTAAAGCAACCTTACGTGGGGGTTTTAGTCTTGGGGTTCACGATGTTGTGTTTACGGTTGGGAGTGTTTGAGCTTAGCGAGCTGCAGGTTTGTCGTGGTCTGTTTAGGGTTTAAGGTTTAGGGGTTCGAGGCTTAGGGTTTAGAGATGTCTAGAGAGGTTTAGAGTTTCTGGTCTAGGGTTTCTAAGCCGACTAGCATGGGGTTTGATATTCCTTGATCTTTTTTGTGCAGCCGGCCCTTCATGGCATGATTTTTGTAGGATACCCTAAACCCTAAACCCTAAACCCGAAACCGGATAGGCACGGCATTGGGTCGTTCCGACGTAGGAGTCGGGCCTCAGAATTTGTTGGAGGCTTCAGTTTCGAGTTTAGGCCCATGTGTCTGATTAGGGTTCAGGGGTTTGGTTTGGGGTTTAGTAGGTTTCGGGTATAGGGTTGTTCTTGCGGGCCGAACTCGGCCGTAATTTGTTGCCTCTGCACATCTGGGGGCCTTAGTGCGAAAGCAGCATGGGCTTTGGCTTGTGCCAGGCAGCTTCCAAACCCTCCAAGTGAAGCGTCGTGGGGTTGGATACGTAGAGTAGTGAGTAGAGCAATCTGTAAGGATTGGGTAGGTACTCGGTACCCTAAACCCTAAACCCGGAACCCCTAAAGCCTAAACCCCAAACCCTAAACCCTAAACCCCTAAGACTTTTAAACCCCTAAACCCCAAACCCTAAACCCTAAACCCCTAAGCCATTTAAACCCCTAAACCCTAAACCCTAAACCCTAGACCCCTACACCAGTACCCCACTTGGCAAGCACCCGTCATGAAAACCCCCAAAAAGGCGAATATCCGGTCACGTTCCTTGTGGAACTCAAAGCTCCGGTGAGAGCAGACCTGGGGCTTCGGGTTTAGGGTTTCAGGATTCAGGGTTTAGGGTTTAGATTCAGGGTTTAGGGTTTAGGGTTTGGGGTTTCAGGGTAGGGTTTAGGGTTTAGTTTCAGGGTTTGGGGTTTTTAGGGTTTAGGGTTTAGATTCAGGGTTTTGGTTTCAGGTTTTTGGGTTAGGGTCTAGGGTTCAGGGTTAAGTTTGGGGTTTAGGAACACAAAGCTCTACGACATCCAGAGACTCGCAGCAGGCCAATGTGCGGGAGACCATGGAGTCGATGGCAAGCTCCTTGCAGAGGTCTCTGCGAAACGGTTCTCCAGAGCAAGCAAGCCTACATCGTCTACTTCGCAAGCACGAAATGGTGCAGAAGTCGCAGTCCACATGATCTCTGCGGCTTGTGAGTAGACGGCTCATCGAGTACAAGATAGGGCTATTCCATCGCGATGGGGCTGCCTTGCTGAGCGAAGCTCTTGGAACAATTTATTCATTCGTACATGTGCCAGTATGTGGCTGGCGTGCTTGCTTCCGTTTAGCACGTTGCACAGGACGAGATAGTGTGGTCCCCCTCGATAGCACACGCAAGACCTGCAGAATTTAGCTACCATATGCGCGGGCTTGTGTCAACTTGTAATCTAAAGCCTAACTTTCGCTTTCAGAACTAAGCAGACAAGACGGCTTAAGTGCAAAGCAGCCACGGACTCGCGTGGGGATTCGACCCTTACTGCAAGGCCTCTTCTGTACGGCACCCGAATATGAAGCCACGAGGGTGAACTCTTAGGTCAGCCCTAACCCAAGCCCCCAACCACGAGGCCTGGACCTCAAATAACCTACCTTTTTGGGGCTTCTTTTAGAGTCCTTAAAACGGTAGGTTCTTTGGGAGTATGTAAGGTCAACCCAAGCCCCTAACCACGAGGATGATGGATCTGGGTGCCAGTCTGAAGGAAGAAAGCGCCTACCAGTCAACTAACCACCTGTGCCTTGCCTTAGGGCTTATGGCTTTCGGTTTATCGGGGCCTTGAGGTTTATGGTTTGGGGTTTAAGGGATTAGGGTGTAGTGAAGTTGTATAGGATTCGTCCGGAGTTTGGTCGGGGTTTTGGGCGTGTTTTGTTTTGCCGGGGAGGATTCTTTGCTTGTCGAAACTCTAAACCCTATAAACCCTATAAACCCTATAAACCCTATAAACCCTAAGGCCTGAACCCTAAA